TTACAGGTAGGTAGTCGCTTATTCCTTACTCTGGCTGGGTTTCCCAGAATAAGGAAGGTTCCTTGGTGAATGCCGTGGACTTTGATGGTCTGCTGGGTGGGGTGGACCTTCACGTTTGCATTATGTAAAAACGTCCCACAAACAAACGCCTGTTTCCCCTCTGCTTTTAAAGACCCCCCACCTCAGTTCCCCTCTGCACCTCCAGCTTCTGTTTAATTCCTCGGAAAAAAAAAAAAAGAAAAGTTTTCCGAAACAGGAGGTGCCTGATTCACCAGACCTGGAATGCCGTGGCTCCCACAGGAAATCTGGTGCATCTCAAAGAGGGACAGCCGGGACCAGTGAGTGTGCTCACACACAAAAGACGAGGTTTCCCGTGCACAACGGGCCGGTGGGAATAAAAACAAGATGAAGAAACTCACACAGGAGGAAAGCGACGTTCCTGTTCCATAAACAGGAAACCAGCATCACTCATTAACTACATGAGTGGATTATCTTCTGCTGGAGACTTTAAACCAACCTGAGTGACGAGTCCGTGTTTATTCATTAGTATAAATCCTGAATCAGCGTCTAAACAAATAAAGAAGTAAAGTAGCAGAAAGCAGTGAAACTGGAATTTGGGAATCACTTCCAGACAGAGACAAGACTGTTATGGGGGCTTCTCATTATTGTATCTCCTAAAAAGATGGTTCAATACACCATTCTGACATGAGAGAACAAGAGCTTATGAACGGTGTACGGCAGGCCAGACGATGCTCCATATTCCCTTTTGTTCATCTTTAACTAGTTAACCAAAAGTTTGATTTTAGCCACATGAATTTATCTCTATGTGCCACTTTCAGTCCACACACACACACACACACGCACGCACGCACACACACCCACACCCACGCGCTTTACTTGGGGTGATGTTATTTGGAGTGGTGGATGGCGATTAGCATGTTTAAGCCATGTCGGTTAGGGTGAATACCACCTCGATAAATGACCGATGAAACTAAAACTGAGGGACCTGCGGGCAGACTGAAGCCAGGACTGGAGAGAGAGCAGACGGCTAAAACTTCCATTTCCACGAGAAGCTGGGGATTAGAGGTGTGAATCTTCACTTGCCTCCCGATTTGATTCGATTACGATTATTGGGTCAACGATTCAATTCGATTCGACATCCTGATGCATCAAGATTATTTCATATTGATTTGTTTTCATCGATAAATAGAAGATGTCAGATAGCTGCTTTTTATTTTATTTTATTTCTTTATCAAAAACGTAATTGACACAACCTGCCATCCCTCAAAAGCTCTCCATTCACAACAGGTTAGGACAAAACATGTAAGAAGATTTAAAGGGACTTTACGGACTTTTGGATTTTTATGCTCGCGATTGCCCCCTCAGGCCAAAAGCGTAACGGCAGCTTCAATAGTAGGCTCGTGCACGAGGCGCGCATGCTGTACGTGCACACTCCTTAACGAAAATAACAGCTGAGACAGTCCCGTGTGTGTGTGTGGGGGGGGGGGGGGGGGGGGGGGATGGGGGACAGGAGAACGTGCAGCTAATTAACTAAATAATGTGGTTCTGTAGCTTTCTCTTCAGCACAGCGACAAAGGTTTATGATGGGTCAGTCCTCCTGCATGCTCAGATCATTCCCTTCCCTTGCTTGAAAAATTGTTCCAAAATGAAAGTTGAACCCACATCTTTTTTATCTGTGAATTCAATGCTGTTCGGCGAGTCTCAAATAAAAATTTGGGCATCTTACTGTAAAAAAAAATATATCATTAATGTAAAAAAGAAACTCTAATTGAACTATGTTCACACCCAGAATCAAACCCAGGTCTTCTGCACTCCGCTGTCTTACTAGGTGTGCTAATGCGCCAGGGACATCTTTTGTATCTGTAACATTTATATCCTTGATGACAGCTGAAGCAACGACAAACCAAAGAACGGTTCGGAGTGAAAATGGCTATTTTGTTGCTAATTTGCAGGAAATATCTAGAAGAAAGTTCTACAGAAAGTAGCTAAGGGTCCTCAGAAATGTAGCTAGCTTTGTCACTAGGCGTTAGGAACAGCGACAAAGTGGCGCTGCCTCTCTCTCTGCTGCTAAAGCTACAGATAGCAAATGCTACGGGCGATGCCTGAGCGTGAACGCGCATGAAGCAGCCTGCTCGACCCGAGCATCTCTCTTTTTCTGTGATTTTACAGAAAAACAGGCAATCCCAGTAAAAATGCCAGGGCTCATTCTACAGGACCAGGGCATTGCAGGAGAATGTATGAAGAAGACATTTATTATTTCTATACATGTTTTGGCTGTCACACTTCCATAATGTCCCTTTAACAAAGTAAAACAATCCGTTTCCTCGTTCAACACCACGCCTCAGGCTGAGAAAAACACGCTTTGCAAAAACTCACAACATCTAAAAAAAGTACTGAAAACCTACAGGACACATAATGTAATAATAAAATACATAATGGGTTCATATATGAGTGTTTAATGTCTCTGAGCAGCTCTAGAGTCCAATATTTATGCCACAGTTGAAGGGTGTCAGAAATAACACCAAATGAAATGTCTGACTTAGTTTGTTATTTTATTTGAACCCAGTGGTTCATTTCTGAAATGTTGGAGAATGAATCTACAAACCTTTCCACTAACCTGTCCTGTGTGACCCACAGGAGTCAATGAGGATTAGCTCGCTTCTGACACCAGCCCCCAGTGGATGAGGGTGGAACTGCAGTTTATTTCATTTCCGGGTTTGTTTCCATTTTTGACCCGCATTGTGGGGGCTTGGGTTCCGCTTACGCCAACATCATACACAAAAAATGCTGAACACCAACTAGAAATTCAGGCAAATTTTATATTATTAATAAAATTATCTTGTTTATTGGGTCTTTGGTAATTTAAGACCTTTGGAAAATGTATTTAAGGATTATTTGTCATTTTAAGACTTTTTAAGGACCCGCGGATACCCTGAATGAAATGACACATCTACATAACTAGAATGGCAACAGAAGAAGAGCCACTCAGGAAGTGCATTCTTCACACACAACAGACTATTTCTATTGGCCTGCTTTATCTAATGGAAATGCCTGAAAGAAACAACTAAACCCTCCATTTACCATCATGTTTTACTACCTAAAGTACTACAAGTGTGCGTTTGTGTTTTATACTTGGCTGCTCTAGTCATGTACTCATGCACATGTCAGTGCATCAACACAAACTGGTTTATTATTCCAGGGCTCACACTCCTGGAATAAGACCGTGAGCAGGATCCTACGAGGGATCCCAACAAGTGTCACTAGAAGTTAAAAACATCAACTTTCCTTGTAAAACAGCCGCAGAAACACTTCCTAGTAGGGCTGCACAATATATCGTAAATATATCGTTATCGCGATATCAGCATGCACAATATGCATATCGCAAAGAACAGATCAATATCGCAATGAATGATCAGCTCAGATGTTTGTTACACATAATGCATTCAGTCAAACGTGTTTTTTAACAAATCAAATAGAGCTCTTCACCCATTTGGCCAATTGGGTGGGTTCTCATAGGTCAGATGCCCGCCCCCGAAGCAGACGGCACTTCATTTTGATGGTTGGCAAAACACCCGAGTTAGCTTAGGTCTGCTCTTTCCGCTGATTCTGCTTTTCCCGGGATCCACTGATTGTCTTTTCTTGTCCATTTTCTTTTTCCCTTTCCTCATATTTTTGCTTTTCTTATTTTTATGATTTATTTTTTATTTCTTTGTTTTGGATCATTTTTGTTCCTGGGTTAAGTTTGTATTTATCGCAAGTAATATCGTCATTGCAGTATTAATCATTGTTATCGAATATCGCAGGTTTTATGTTTATGTTTATTTATTTAGCAGACGCTTTTATCCAAAGCGACTTACAATTTATAACCTATAGGGCATGTTGTGATCTGTGGGGGAAACCGGAGTACCCGGAGGAAACCCACGCATGCATGGGGAGAACACGCAACTCCACGCAGAAAGGCCACAGCCGAGTTTCGAACCTGCAACCTTCATGCTGCGAGGCAACAGTGCTAGCCACTGCACCACCATGCAACCCATTAGGTTTTCCTAATATCGTGCAGCCCTACTTCCTAGCTTCATTAACAACGGTGCATCCTTTATCTGAATGTTGCCAAAAGCTTCAGACCAGTGAGAAACCGGCCTGGACTGAAAGGTTGGGCTGAACGATGAACCTGCATAATTAATATGTTTTTGATTGGCATCGTTTTCCTTTAAATGTAAACATTTCCTGGGTCAGGATTAACTACTCCCATTGAGGCTACAACGGCATGAACCACCGGCGCCGCTCTACCAGCCCAGACCCCCCCCCACATAACACGTGCACCGCCATCACCTCCTAATAACAACACAACCCGCTGCAAGGGGTTTGCTGTTAGACATGGCAACCCATCGAGCCTTTCATCTCAACAGGCGTGCATGCGTGCTCCAACCTTGACCTCTAACGCAGCAATGAATGCATACACACACACACACACACACGCACGCTCTGACACACTTTCAGGTCTCAGCCGAGGTGACCCAACCATTCGTTTCATCTCACCGCTCTTCTCTCCGCCACTGCTGGCACCATTACCTTAACACAAACACAGTATTTCTGTCATCGTCCGCAGGACGCGGTTTTCCCTTAATATCTCTCTTTCTTCTGCAGCCATTAGGGGAATGGCAATGGGGGCCTGCAGCAATCTGGGACGGGGCTGAGTTGTGGGAAACCAGAGTGCAGTTTGTGGCCTCACAGCATGCAGCCCTCTCCCTCTCCTCCTGCTGGCCCTCTCTTTCTGTATCTCTGAATCTCTCTTGGCAGAGAATCATAGGAGGCTTCATGCAAATCCCACATTACGGCCTTAAATGATCTGGGAAAACATGCCCCAATAAAGCCGTGTGTATATCTCAACGCTGTTCAGCTTTTGAAGCAGAGCGCGGACAGTTTGTGTGGATTTCTCTCTGCGTGTGAGCGACGATGGCCGTGTGTGTTTCCTCTACCTCCACGTAGTCTTTGGCGTGACCCCAGTCCCTCTTGGAGTCCAGGTTGCCGAGGCTGAAGTTCTGCAGCTGGCCCAGGTGTATTTTTGCCACAGAACGACTGATCTTACGAGTCACAAAGTTTGCACCTGAAAAACACAGGCGGAAAAAAGAAAAAGCTTATTATGTCGATTATTGCTTACACGGGTCGTAAATGTTCTGATTATTCCAAAACACACAAACAGAAGTGAGCAGATGTCAGTGCATCACCAGTGTTGTCCAACACCACACTCACACTCTGCTCCAAACCTACAGGACTTCTCCGAGCCAAAGCAAGAAACTCAGAACTTCAACTCTGACTCAAATCAATTCGTTACCAACTCACATTACAGCCGCAAGCCCCTTTTAGAAGCCTGCTCTCTCATTTTCTTCTCTAATTCACTGTTTTGGTGTCAAATCTGGGCTGTAGGCCAACACAAACTTCAGGCCATCTGTCTCTATGCATAAAAAAATAAAAGCAACGGGGAAGTTCCACAGAAAAATCACAACCAAACAGGACCACCGAGGTTCTGCTGGTGCGGCGACCAGTCGTTTATCGCCACACTGACATCTGCCAGATCACCCTGCGGTGCTCCTCGTGCGAGCCGGCACACGTGGCGATGTTATCTGTGGTAACGCAAACGAGCTTCTAATGGCCGTTTCTGTGCGTCGGGAGCGGTTACGGATGCTTCTGGGTGTTTTGGCGGGACGGTGTGGGTCGGTGTTAAGTTCTGCGCTTGTGCCGAAGAGCTTGTGAATAAACGACGCGGTCCTCCAACCCAAACACAACATTATACTGATGGAAATCAACACTAAATATAAAGGTGTCAGGTCTAATAACGTTTCCATCTGGGTTGAGGCGAGCTTGCTGGAGCTTAAGGAGGTCAACTCGTTTGATCTGCTTGTTCAGAAAGCAAAACGGAAGATATGTGGGGACGTGAACATGTGATTTCAGAGCAGTTCTTCAAGTTTGCATCAAAGTTTCGTCTATTTTTACCCCGCGTAACATCTTCGCTGCTCATAAATCTCCCACAGCCTCGTATTAACCTCTGAGGAGCTCCTCCAGGCTCTTTTTTTTTTATTCAGACTGAACGTTGCCTTTAAGCTCCGCGTCTGTGACAACACTATTACTGTTCCCCTGACGTGGAGCAGAGCCTCCATTTAGGCACAGGAAAGTCCCATGTACCCAATCACGTAGATGCACTAAATTTGTAGTAATTATTTCATAGTGAGGCACAGTCCTGGGCAAGCTGAGCAGAAACAGACCAGGGAGGGTTAGACATGCTTATTTAAGAAAATACAGCATGTTGTGTGTTGGGAGCAGGTCACGCGGCCCCCGCGTTAGCGCCCCTTTGTCTCTGCTGAGCTGCAGTTTCATGTAGTTTCCATGCACTTACAAATTCTCCTCCTCAGAGATCTTCTGCTCTCGAGTCTTTCAACCAACGCTTCAGCGGCGTGCTGAGAAATAGCACAACGTCCACGGAGCGTGGATAAGTTGAGCAAGGAAACCCCCTCCGATGTCAGACCTGTCCCGTTTCTGCTTGATCGTCTAATCCAGCCTCGGGCCCATTCTCCTACCTGGCAGGTCACCTGTTCTGGCAGATACCTGCACTCTCGCTAACTGTAGTCAGATGTTAACCAACAATTACTCTTCTGCCACCGACACATACACGGCTGTCAGGGCTGCTCTCATCCGTGTCAGCGAGACAGGCTCTTATTTCATCATGGAGTGTGGGACATCCATCATGCAGCAACACACACACACACACACAACGCTGTCAGGTTACATTACGTCAGGTGAATAATTCGGTACTTTTGGACTTTGCCCTGTCAGACAGAACTTTTCATATTTGAATGGGGTTGACTCCAACAGTAAACCAGCTGTACTCCAGTTGGGTTTTAAATGAATCAAAGGATAAATTCGACCTTTAAAATTAAATGTAGCCTAGTGTTCATAGAACAATGATAGTTCGCCTTAAGGCAGCGGTACTCCCTCCTGGTCCTGGAGAGCCGGTATCCAGCATGTTTCCTTGTTTTTTGAGCCCAACACACCTAATTCAGAGGTTGAATCACCTGTGCAGAGCTCATCAGGCTCTTCAGAGGCCTGTTAATCATCTGCTGATTGAAATCAGGTGTGTTGAAGCAAGGTTAAAACTAAAACGTGCTGGATACCGGCTCTGCAGGACCAGGAGAGAGTACTGCTGCCATAAGGCATTTTAAAGTGACGGTGTGTATTTTCCCTGGCGATAGGAGGCTGCGCATACCTAAATCATTGCAAGCAAGCTCTGTTTTTGTGTTTGAGTAAGACCGTACCAACAGATGGCCGTTAGGGCCAAAAATCGCTGGGAGCATGAACTCCAGCAAAATGAGAAGCACGTCAGACTCCCTTTCATCGCTGGCCACGAGTGAAGAGTGAAATGTGTAAAATGTTTATGAATGGAGAATGTTTTGTAATGGCAAACCAGTAAATGCATTTTGTCCTCACGGGCTCCCGTAGAAGGAAACATGGCATCTAATATGGCGTCGCCCAGAGACTTAGACCCGCTCCCATGTAGTTTAGACCTGATTTTTATGGTTATATGTTGCAAAGCCACCAATAGTTTTCAACAACTGGGCATCATTTCACTCATTTTCAACATGTTGGTGGATATTCTTCTTCCGGCTCTTGGAGGGAGCAGACGCTTTTTTTCCTCCTCTCCTCCATATCTTATCCTCAAGGCCTTTGTCTGTCTCTGGGTGCTGGGTGCACGGCTGCTTCTGCATTTTTATGGAAACTGGAAACTGAAATTCACTCAAATGGATCTCGTCAGTTGGTTTCTCAACGCGATTGATAAAATTTTTTCAACGATGAGAACGGGAGAAGGGGCTCCCGGATGTCCCGCCGGGACAGACCCAGTTGGACACATCATGGACTCCTGGAAACAGTGGAACTTGATTTGTTTATCTCAGCTGTCTGTGGAGGACTCTGAAGATGTGTGGATATTCGTGGTGTTGGTGTCAGGTTTCCTGCTCATTGGCCTTGGAGACTACCTGGCTTACCGGAAAATTAACGAGTTGTCGAGGAATATTGGCCTGATCCCGGAGCTCAGAGATGGTTTGCACCGCGCTGTGAATTCACAGACTCAAATAATTGCCTAGATGAATCGTAAGCTTGGGACTTTGGTGGAGATTCATTCTTTGGCACAAAAGATGGATGCCATCAAGGAGAAAGTGGACGAATCAGCACGGATTGGGATAGATTATTGTCCATTATTGGGATTTTGAGAGGTTGAGGACCAAGGAACTATAAGACAGAGAGGAAATTATCTCTGTCTGGCCCCAAAACAATTTCTAATTGGAATCTGGCATCCTTGAACCAGCAAGGCTCCAACGAAGATTGCCCCCTCAGAAGATATGTGGAATGTGCCGTCGCTATGGCAACTCAACTCTGTCTCCTTTCTCATCCTGGGCGGGACTGCGGGAAGGCCGCTGAAACGTTCCAGGGTCACTGAAACCCTCCAACCCTCAATGCCCAAACCCCCCCCCCCCCCCCCCCACCCCATACACACTGAGGTGACATGCGCTGCTTATCGTGGCTGCAGGAACTGAAGTGGGGATAGTCCCAACCCACCACCCCACCTAGTGGATGCTTATGTTGTGTTGTCTGAAGTCTGTTGCTTATCTGTCTGAGGTGTTTTTTTGCAGCGCAAAGCTGCCCTCCTGGTGGGAGGGTTACTCTGAAGTGCCTTGTTTTCCCTCCACCTGAACCAATCCTCATGTAACCCTCTTATCTCTATTAAGGTAGCGCAACTTGGGTTGCGAACGACCAGTCACCAATTCTTGTCACGTGTCTTGCCCATGAATGTCTGACCTCGGAATTCTGTGTACTGAAACTCTAATTTCCCTCTGGGATTAATAAAGTATCTTTGATTTGATTTGATTTCCAGAGATTAAGGGTAAAAACTACACATTGTCTCTTTAAAGAAAAGACAAGGAAACGTGTTTCCAACTGAAACCTATTTATATTTACGTGATTTAAGACAAGTCCAGAGGAAAACAGAGGGTGTTTCTCAATGCCAAGGAACCTCGCCTTGGTGTCTTGGCCCCGCCCCAGTTGCCTAGGAGATACGTCATCGAGAGCCGCCAAGACGTGTTCCAGTGTTCATGTTCTACCGAGGTGTGTGTTCTCCGTTTGTTAGCCGTTTAGCTAGCTGAGCAAGGATACACGGGAGGTGTCTTGTAGCCTAGCCTTGGTCAAAAATTACCCAGAATACACGGCGGTATTTTCTAAAAGATGGCGGATCAGAAGCCGGCAGCTACTTCAGGGACAATTTTCAAGTTTAAAAGTAAGTCAGCTATTTTAAAATGTTTTTTAGATCCAAAGAAGTTATCTATGGTTGGTTAGTTGTTTAGTAGTTGCAGCTTCGGTGGCTAGCGGGTAGTAACTCACTTATATTTTTAATTTAATAAACATATAAACAATTTAAAAAGTAAAAGGCTCGTTACATATTTATATTGAAACTAATACGTATAAAATTTAACGTTATCTACCGTGTCACGTGACGTTACACGACCGCCGTGGAAGCAGCGGTCACGTGATGCAAGTCTGTTCCATGTAACCGTTTTCTTTGACCAAGGAAGGACAGTGTCCTCGTGAGCAAGGCGCCTTGACATTGAGAAACACCCTTAGACCCGCTCCCATGCAGTTTAGACCTGCTTTTTATGGTTATATGTTGCGAAACCGACAATATTTTTCAACAACTGGGCATCTTTTCACTCATTTAAACATTTTGGTGGATAATTCTGGAGATTAGGGGTAGAAACTACACATTGTCTCTTTAAAGAAAAGACAAGGAGACGTGTTTCCAACTGAAACCCATTCGTATTTATGTGATTTAAGACAAGTCCAGAGGAAAACGGAGTCATCTGGTGATTGTTCTGGGTGGCCCGGTGTGTAGCTGGGACTGTGACTCACTGAGCTACGGCAGTGCAACAAGAGCTGCAGCAAACTAAAAGCTGAGCTCTGATTTGACTCAACGTCCAACGGAAACTTGAGTTTGCAGGTTAAAAGCAGGTTGTCAAAACTCTGTAAAACCCGTTTGGCTCGTAAAAAGGTGTCAGAGGTACATGG